ACTACTCATGCATCATCGGAGAGGCACCAATGGAGGTGGTAAACCCATCCAAGATGGTGTCTAGATTGGATATGGTGGTTCTGGACTCTGCGGCGGCTGGACCAATATTTCGTCAACTCCCCTAGGGTTTTGGGAATATTGAGGTATTTATAGAGCAAAGAGGCGGTCCGGGGGGCACCCGAGGTGGGCACAACCCATGAGGGCGCGTCTGGGCACCCCCCAGGCGTAGCCAGGGCCCATTATGTTTCTTCTGGTCCAAAAAAATCTTTGTAAAGTTTCATTGCGTTTGGACTCCGTTTGATATTGATTTTCTGCGATGTAAAAAATATGCAGAAAATAGCAACTGACACTTGGCACTATGTCAATAGGTTAGTACCAAAAAATGATGTAAAATGATTATAAAACACCCAAGATTGATAATATAACAATATGGAACAATCAAAAAATATAGATATGTTGGAGACGTATCAGGCGCCATTGCCTCTTCGGTTTCGGTTCTATACCGGCTCCGCCAGTCTCGGTGCCGGTCTTAGTCTCAGCATCGGTCTCGATGTCGGTCTCAGTCTCCGATGTGACAGGTGGGCACAGCAACAACAACCGTTGATCATCGGCAAGGCTCAAAAATTCGTCTGTCGCCAGGTAGACATCGTCGCAATCACCAGAACCCTGTCCTTCATCATTGGTAGCCATGTTTCCTATGATTAAATATAGTCAATTAATTCTAGACCTAATAAAATGAATAATGACATTAAAAAGGCCTATGTTTTGCAGGAACGTTGATTCCTTCTCAGTGCGGCAAATCCTAGGGCACTCGATATGTCCTAGTTTGTAGCACAAGTCATGCCGAAATTCACGGAAAATTTGCCAGAATGGAAATGAATCAACATTCTGGCAAAACATAGGCCACTCGGCTTCATTCCTTGGAAACAACAAAAGGCAACTTGTGAACAATTGAACCACTTCAATGAAAAGATATAACATGACCACTTCAATGAAAATATGTAATCAACAATAAAAGTCTAGGAAGGGATCATCTTTAAAATAAAACTTGCCTAATTTATTTTCCTTGAAAAATAGTGGTCTTTTCAGAAATCAAAAAACTTTGCAAATTGATGTCACTAAACACTTCTCTATCTAGGACAGAACCCAAATTTTGTTCTAGCTATTCCTCATTAGAAATTGACCTTATTAGAATTGCAAAGGAACCCCATTTTCTCTACCCTCACCAAAATTTCCACAGCAAGGCCTTAGTACCTACACCCAATTTCTTCAAAAATATTCAGGTCCATAGTCCAAATAATTCAAATTTCATTTAAATGAAATTTGGACCAGGTTCAGATCCATAGTCCAAATAATTTTTTATAGCTAAATGCTACTGTTTTATGTTTATAGCCTCTATTAATTTAAATCTAAATGCTACAATAATTTATATACCCTCTGTTAATTTAAACCTAAATGGAATTACTGTTTAGGCATTTTCATCAAAATTTGCCCTAGTTAATTTCCTAAAAAAATTGCTCACCTTCTTTCCTAAATGCTAAAAAAATGCCTACTGCCCTAAATAAATCTAGGGTCCATATGAACACCTAGGGTTCATATATATGAACATCATCAAGCAGCAACATATGAATTGCCCTACCAGAGAGAGAGAGAGAGAGGAGGGCAGGTGAGAGGAAAGGGAGAGCCTTACGGTCGACAGCGAGGGCGGGCTCTGGCGGCGGCGGTCCTGCGCGGGCTCGGGCGGCGGCGGTGAGGTCGAGGGCAGCCTCGGGCGACGGGGTGAGGTTGAGGGCGGCCTCGGGCGGCGGCGGTGAGGTCGAGGGCGTGCGCGATCGACGGCGACAAAGAAGTTGGGGGAGTTGGGGGAATAGGGGGGAGAGGGGGAAAGACTTAGCAAAATTTTGAGCCCGCGAGCGTTATCAAACTAGCGGTAGCGCTAGTCTGAAAAAAGCGCTACTGCTAAGTTAGCTATAGCGATTTCATCCAAAACGCGCTACTGCTACATGAAGTATCTATTTATTTTCCTTTTTCTTTTATCTAAGGAACTTAGGTATAGTGCGGGATAACGAAACGCGCTAATGCTAATGTAGCTATAGCGCCTTGTGAGAACAAGTGCTACTGTTATGCCTTTCTCCATTATTTTTCTTTTTTTCCATTTCTCCTTTTTCTATTACTTTCATTTTCATTTACTTTTCTACTTATTTTCTTTTTCTTACCAGTAGCGCTCTACAGCAGAAATGCGCTGTTACAAGGCACTTAGCAGTAGCGTGTTTCCAGCAGGCTCGCTACTACTCTTCCTAGCCTACCGACAACAATGTGGGAATTATAGTAGTAGCGCTTTTTTGTGCACGCGTGCTACTGCTACAACTATAGTTGTAGCGTGCTTTTGTGACAAGCGCTATTACTAAGTAGCAATAGCGCTTAGTTTTGACTGGCGCTACTGCTATACCTCTGTGTATAAGGTTTTCCCTAGTAGTGCCACCTTCACTAGTCGATGACTAGGTGGACGTGGGACGACTAGTGAAGTGGCGGGTGCTCCGACAATGGCTAGGGTGTTGGGGGAAGAAAGAGCTGAGTTGGGAAAAAAGAGGGAGGATGTGGGCTGGTCTGACCGATAAGCGGGCTTGTGCTGCGTTGGGGGAGAAATTGGAGAGTGGACTATCTGCGGACAGTGTGTAGAGATCTAAGGGAGCATGTTGGATAGAGCCCCTCCCAATCTTCAATTTCTGAGTAGCTACAACAAAGTGCCTATTTTTTCTAGCCAAGCAACCCTACCACATAAGCAAGTCATGCATGCATGTCATAAATTACATTTTTTGTATTACTCCATATATGTAACACTATCACATCATCAATGCATGCATGTTAGTCATAAATTATATTTTTTCCATTTCTCTATGCATGCAACGTTGTCACATCATCAATTCATGCGGCTAGTCATAATTTATTTTTGCATTAGATTCTGTATTGATAGTACAAGTGCTGGACAATTGCAGCGTACCTATATAGTTCACCTTCAGATGTTTTTAGAAATGACATTATTTTAACCGCACTTCAATTTTCTTTCTCTTTTCATAGTTTTTATAAATTTTAAGCTCACATTTGCTTTCCATTAGTTTTAGATGATTTTAGCAACTATTTATGCATTCCTTTTAGCAAGGTTCTCAAGCAACGCGCGTGGAATCATCTAGTATACCCGAGTGGATAAAACCAGACAGATCGGAGGGATTTGCGACTGCCCCTTGGAGATCCCTAACCAAAAGCTATGAGGAGGGTAAATCCTATATGAGATTCACTCGTGAAAATACCGGGTTGTCGCATAGGGAGGTGAGCGACCTGGGCCGGCCCATGTTCCTGATTTTTCTTGTTGCTTTTCCTGTTACATGTTTTTATTTGGTTTAGTGTGATTTTCATCAATTTCCCTTTTTTGTCCTTTATCTCTTGGCATTTGCATTTTTTCATTAGTAAAAGCATATTTTGTGTGCTTGTAGAATAATGGCATGCATTTATACCTCCCCCTGTTGATCATATCTGGTTAAACTTTACAGTTTGGTACTACAGTGTAAAGATTGACCTCAAGAGTGCCGAGAAAGACTATCCTATAACAAACTTCTAGTGCTCTCCCGCTGATGCCAAGAATGATGTGAGTCGTGTCCTTTTATCCAATAGCTGGAATTTCATCACAATTTTGTGCACAATGCTTGCCTCCATGGACCCGAACTTCAAAATTGTTTTGAAAATTGGGATGGTCGTGAAATAACCCTATAGAGATTAAAAGGTTGTTTCGGAATAAAGGATGAAATATATAAGATATTCAAACCAATGTTTGATTGCAAGATAGTTGAAACGGGTATGAGTGAAGTGTTCACAACGTTTAAGATTGCTGAGAGTGGGATCTAAAAGAACACCGGTCATGTGATGATGGTGAATAAAGGCATAAAGCGACCAAACTTTAAGAGAAAGGGGAAATCCAAGGGTGCTAGTGAGACTCACATGCCTCAGAAGTTCTAGAGCAAGTCCAAGGATGCTAGTGAGACTAACACGCGTGGGAAGTCAAAGGCTAGCATCACTCTTGATGTTAGGTGTTTTTTCCTGTAAGTAGGAGAGATATTGGAAAAGAAACTACAACAAGTATCTGGCAGAAAAGAGAACATTTTTTGAACATATGGTGGAATATTTTTAAATACATGATTAACATTTTTTAATACACGGTGAACATTTTCTGGATACACCAAAATGTTCATGTAATTTAGAAAAATGTCCACACACTTTTTATAAATAATGTTTATGTAACTAAAAAAATGCTGACATCTTTTTTCGATTTTTTTAATGTGGTAGAAAAATGGTTAACCTTTATTCAAGAAACATTTCATGTCGTATATGAAAAAAACGAGAGAAAAAACAAGGAATCCAAAACAACCAAAGAAAAAACAAAAATCGCTGTAAAACCGTAAGAATTGCGCTCGGTAACTGGGCTGGCCTATAACGCCAGAGCTTTCGCTACTAATCTGCCGCAGAGAGCAGCAGATAGGAGGACTCAGCCGTGCTCAGGTTGTCACGTCGGCAGCTTGCGATTGTGACTTTAAAAACAACCCCGAGCACGGAGGTGTTCTTGTCCACCACTACCTCCAGGACTTCACCTGATCTCAGCTACAGCATCCATCGAACAACCTAGGTCCGCCATTGCAGCAAAAGGTGCGGTCAACTAAGAAAGAATAGCTGCGATGCCAAAAACAAATGAAAGAGAAGGGCAGCGCTAGAGCATGGCATGTGAATGGGATACCTGCACATCTAACTGACGCAAACAGTAGGCACCACAATCATACGAGGTCCACACGACCACACTCAATGTTCATAAAACTTGAAATCAAATTATAGCATGTCACACAAAGCAGATGTCGAGTTCCAGTCATGTTCGGATCAAACACTAACACGGGCCGAAACTGCTTCAGCAGCAGAGTATGCTACGTTTTCTAGCTCATGGCTGCAGCAGCATATGTCTACCATGTTCCTACAGCGCCCTTGGACGGGTTCTCAAAGGCGGCAAATCCCCAGTTGGTCTTCAGGGCATACGGCGGGTAGATGGTCGATCCCTCGGTCGTGATCTTGGCAATCTGTCAACCAAACCAGACAAACCATCCATGTTATAACAGTTCAGCAGCTACATACTGAAGGAATTTGGCTAAATTTCTTCTAGGCATTAGAAGTGACTTCACTAAGACGACAAGTTGTAACCTGGAATTTGTTGATGGATGACCGGTCACGGTACAACAAGACCAGCAGGCACTTCTCAATCAGCTTAACAGCTTCTTCAAAGGTCATGTCCTCACGCCATTCACCACGAAGTATTGGGATTGCCATGTGGTTCCCAAATCCAGTGGCAATGTGGTTCTCCTCAAAGTGTGTACCAATCATGTTAACCTGAACACCAAAATTAGGCACAACATAAGGTCATGACAAACCAGTAGCAGTAGAAAGAACAGCAATCTTCTTTCAAACCAATATAATAACATACCATGCCAAGATACTTCTCATCACCCTTTGGGCCCTTCTTCACTCCACCAAGCACCAGGGAGTTCCACAGGGGGTCAAACTTATTGCGCCGGTTGTACATCACCCTTGTCAGGTATGCATGGATTTCCTTGGGGCCCAATGAGTTGCCATCATCCCACATATGATCATTCAGACTGAAAAGGAGCAGAGATGAGGATGTCACATCAATTTCACACAGCAGAGAGAAAGAACACACATGAGCAAAGCCATTCGACAAGGTAACCTACGTCAGTTCATCCAGATAGCGCAGAATCTCCTGGAAATCACTAAACTCCCCACTCCCTCCAATAAGACTATGCTTACCAACCTCCTTGATACGCTCCACGCTCTTGTATCGCAGAGTTGACCCATAGGAGGCTGCACAAGAAATCAGATAAAGGGTCGCATATCACAGGAACAACTACATTTGCCTGTGCGGAAGAAGTGACAGCTAACTAACCTCCAGTGTCACATGCCATGATCACACCATCCTTGTATTTCATTGCAATCACAGAGTTACCAGTCACATAGGGGTTCCTGTTGATGCAATACAGCGTCGAGAGTTAACCATGTGCGTATACAAATAAATTTATTGAAAACAATAGCACCATGAAAGAAGTTGCAGTTGGACATTAGAGGAAAGCCTGGGCAATGAACGTATTTTGGAAAGAAAAAATAACACACACAAGATTGCTATAAGCACCTTCTTGGACAAATTACAAAAGGCATCAAATTTACTGAAAGACACAATAGCACCAGGATAAAGTTGCAGTTGCACACTACAGGAAAAGCCTGGACACTGAAGGTAGTAGTATTTTTGAAAAAACAATAGCATGCACAGGATTGGTAGAACCAATTCTTGGGCAAATTACAAAGGGCGTTATATGTATATCTATTGGGCTGGCTAATTATAAGCTAAGACAAAGGAGAGGCTTCTATATTAACACCATAAAATCATTCATTCTGCCATGGAGGTCAAAAAATTCAGATAGGTAACACAACAGTCCACGAATAAACATATGCAGAAGGCGCTATAACTGCTGGGTTGGTTAGCTATGAGCCGAGAGAGACTAACTAAAGCCTAGAGGCTTGTAGATCGACAACAAAAAATTCCATCCATGCTACTATCAATTGCATAAGAAATTTCGCGGAGCGCATGGCATTCCAGATCGGAGAAATAGGGGGGTTGCTTACAGCGTCCTCTGCGTCCCCTCGCCGCCTCCGGCCGCGTGGGAGTGGGATCCGTCCATGGACTCGGGAGGGGGGATTCGATCTGGGCTTGGCTCGCCTCGTCGGAGGAAGGCGCGCGCTCGGTCTGGCGGTCTGGCTTTGGTGGTGGTGTGCCCTGCCCCTCTCTTCCCCTTCCCCTTCTGTGCGTGTTCCGTTTTCTTTCTTGCAGAGCGGGTCGAACTCCAAGTCGAAGCAGGCGGCTGGGTCGGGCTGGTGTGCGTCTACTCTGTCCACAAAACGGGTTTCTGGTTTACGTATTAGAGCTCAGGCAGAGGCTTTCATCGATCAAAAAACCCGAGGTAAAAGGCTTGACTCATTCATTAATTAAGGATTTTAGAGTCCAGAACAGCAAGCTCGACACGGGAGCACATCATAACAAAAATATTATGATTACATGATTAATCTCACGACATGATAGTACTCAAATGCATGTCCCGCAGTGATCCAGAGTTTCGCGTCGTCTTTGATATGCCGAAGAATGTAGAACGAATGTGTTTATTTCTTTCTCAAGACCCTTGCATTCCTCTCATTCTAAATTACCCCAAATGACGGGCATAGTAGCTCAAAACAGGTTCTCACCTCGCTTTATATATAAAGCAACATCACCAAGTTACACGGCGAAATGATACAATATAGTGAGGTAGCCCTCTAATACAGCAACTCCCTAAATAACTGGTCAACATAACCACACACGATTGCGTTGCTGAACAATTAATCACATGACGACCAGAATACAACACCACGACACGACCTAGGACACCTAGCTTCCATGACAACTCCCTCATGAGGGGAACGCAAAAGCACCGCCGTTGTCAAGCCCAAAAGGACATAGGTTTTCACCCAGAGACTCGCCACGGAGAGGAGAACCATGACGACGTCTTCAAGAAGATAACGACACCCGCAGATATCGTCGCCGTCAGCGCCAAAGTGTGGAGCTTTTGCTCGGCACCTCACCTGTGCCACCATGAGGCACCCAAACCAGCCATGGCGAGAAACCGGCCTCCTGATCCGGATCCAGGAAATGCCACTACCGAGGACAGAAAGTGTGCCCGAATCACCCACTGCTACACTCCTTGTCGTCCAGACGACCAAGAAGCATAGCCACTGTTGCCGTCATGGAACCTGCCGGAAAGCCATCATACAGACCGCCGTCTGGGGCCGCCGCCCCAGCATCTATGTCCCGAGTCACCGCCAACTAGACCTGGCCATGGGCTGCCCGGCCCGACTCGGCCCGAAAAAGCCCGACCCGGCCCGGCCCGACGCTGCTCCCGGGCCGAGCTCGGGCCCAGATTTTGAGCCCGGTGGCCTGGTCGGGCCGGGCCCGGGCCCGTCATTTTTGCAGTTTTCTGAAGGGGCCCGGCCCGAGGCCCGAGGCCCGGCGGGCTTTTGCATGTTCGGGCCGGGCTTGGGCCCAAAAACTAGGCCCGATGGCCGGGCCGGGCCGGGCTCGGGCCCAGGTTTTTTGGCTCGGGCTTGGCTAGGCCCGGCCCGAAGCCCGACCCGGCCCGAGGTTTGGCCAGGTATTACCGCCAACCATCGAAATCACAACACACAACCACGGTGGGAGAAACGAAAGGCACCTCCTTCCACTCCTAACCCGAAATCAACCACCTAGCCTGGGTGAGCGCCTTCACGGTAGGAAGCGTCCACCTCTGCGTTCCCAGTCAATCCCGATGGACCGAGGGAGACATGGCCTAGTAGTTGCCGACGGCCACCGCTGAGCATGGACCGACACTGATCCTTGACCTTGGTCGAGCCAAACTCACACGCTGCCACACCCGCGGCCATCAGCGTCGACCTGACCTCCAGGATAGCAGCACCATGGGCACCTGCTCGGACCGCCGCCGCAATGGATAAAAAAGGCAGGAGATCACTAATGGGAAGGCAACTAGCGCAGGCTAGGTCGCCCGCTGCACCTACACTCCGCCGGATGCCATCCACCATCGCGAAACAGAACCGCGCGCTCCCCGCCGATGACACGGACCACCATCGTAAGAGAGCAATGGGCTGCCCCACAACGATCCAGAGGATCCTTAGCAGCACCCCCACGCCAGGCCACGCTGCCGGCATGAGCCCAACCACCGTGATCACCCCCACATGGCGCCGCCCGAACTGGCGCACTCCATCGAGGCCCTGGCACCCCCATCAGGCCGGCCTCCCAGAATGACGTCCATGCCAGGCCGCCAAGCAGAGACCCGAGCAGCTCCACCTCACCGGAGACACCACCCCCCGTTGTGTTGGGAAACATAGTAGAAAACAAAAAAATCGCCTTACGATCACCCAGGAACAATATGAAGATGCATAATGGGTGTAGCAGAAGTAGACGAGTCGGTGTAGATCGTACTTGGAGTCCCTTGAACGTCGTGAGTGTAGCAGAAGTAGACGAGTCGGTGTAGATCGTACTTGGAGTCCCTTGAACGTCGATGAAGATCCCGCGAACCACCCTCGAACTTAAGACCGAAAGCACAGCCTCTCTAATTGGCAGCGCTTCGCCGTCCAGAGCTAATCGTCATCGGAGAATTAGAGGGAGGGGATTAGAACCACACAACGCTTCTAATTATGAGGATTATAGGTGGCCAGGGCTAGCTCTAATTAGTCAACTAGGACCAACAAGAAGTAGAGCTAGATCAACTAGAGGAGGCTCCAAAACTTGTATTAACATAAGGTGGAAATCCTCTAGTATATATAGGTTAGAGGGAAGGGAGAGGGCAGCCAGAAAGGGGGGAAGTGCCCCCTTGGTGCGCCGGCCTACTCCCTCCCCTAGTCCAATTCACCCCCTCCCACAAGGAAATGGGGGCGCCAACTTCTCTTGGGCCCTCCTCTTGGCTTTTAATTCCCGTTGATATTTAAATTGTAAAATGTTCTAAACACTTCTAGACCATTATATATATAATTTAACATCACCGAAATTTTTTTCCACCTATATATAATTAATCGGTAATACCCAGTATTATCTGATATTCACCGAAACCCTTCCGATGACCCCAAAACGCTTCTAGGACCTCTTGGAAATATTCCGGATATTAATGAAACAATTTCACAAATATATTCTCATTACTCTTGTACTGCTAGCACTCAGCAGATTATGATAACCATAAGCATGACCCTGTAGGTTTGGTAAACCATAGACATGAATGAAACCCCCTTGTTCAATGACCCATAGCGAAACTGTGGACATCCATATCGGTCCCTATGATTACACGAATGATATTCGAGTGAATCTTTGGTTATCATGTGATGTTCCCTTTGCTTCGCGATACTTTGCAAAACCCAGTGTGCATTGGTATCCTCCTGAGACATCACCATGCTCACTAGATCGTTGCTCCCGTTACCGTTTTGTTCTTCTTTCTTGTTGACGTGTTTCGGCATCCCCATGGCGTAGTCACCTGTGTCTGGCCAAACGATGATAGATGCCATCACACCGAGAGGGCGGAATATCTCTCGATCTTCGAAGGAGCAAATCTCACTCTCGAGCTATCCGGTCACTTGTCAAACTTTCCGGTGAGCCTGAAAGTTGTCGTTATGATCACTTTGTTACAGATGACGTTTGAGAAACCCCAAAATCCGTCGTCTGGTAGGAAGTAACCGAGATACTCTTATGGTCTAAGGAACTAAAACACATGCTAACACTCCATGTTATTACATATGATTTTAGACGATATAATCACAAAGTATAACGACAACGTCATTCTTCTAACGTCATATCTTCAATGCTGTTTTAGGACTATCGTTACACTTAACGATATCCTAATATCCGGAAAATGTGATCAACAACAACACTTGAGCCAGTCTTAAAGGTGAGACTTGGAACCTATTGTTTACCGTTTATCATTTCACACGTGCATATGAGTTTTCCACTCAATCACATATTCCAGGATCATAGCAGCTATAGCATGAAATATAAACTTTTAATTATGAATAATAAAAATATAATAATACAATATTATTACCTTTAGGGCATATCACGTTGCCTCCCAATGCTGACACGTCCCTCGCCGCCAGTGGCCGCCACATGCCAGATCTGGGGAGAGCCTGCACGACCGCCAAACGCCACCACCAGCACGACCCACCGTCCTCCACGCCGCCCATCACAAAGCAGACACACCTGCCCGCTTCCTCGGCGCTTGTGTGCTGCCACGCCGCGGCACCATGCCACCGCGCCACGTCCTGCCCGTCAGAGCCGCCCCGCACCGGCCCAGCACATGAGGAGAAGAAGCCGCCCGCCGCCGCCGGCTCCAACCGAGCTTTGCCCGACCGAGCACGCGGCGACGACGAGGGAGGGGGGAGGAGAAGGAGGAGTGCCCGGCGGCGGTGCGCTAGGGTTCCCTCCCTGTCGCCTTGCGGGGGGCGACATGGGAGGGGGTTGGGGGCATGGTAAGGGAGGCCATATCGCCGGATGCCACAAGCTCCCAGGTGATGCCATCCTCGATTTCATCACGGGGCTAGGTGTGCTGAAGGTGGATCCATAGGTTTACAAACTGGACGATGTGGTCCATGATGAGTCCAATGGAAGAGTCGATCTTTTGCATTCAAGCGTTGTCCGTAAAGCTTCCCTAACCGTCCAGTTCTTCCTTTTGGAGGCTGCGAAGATGAGGGGGCCGATGTCCTTTGGTTTCTTCCATTGCACCCACAGCGAGCCCCAAAAAGGCGCCTTTATTCCGTATCCTAGGATGGTGGTGGAAGGCATAGAAGAGGTCCATCTTTGAGTCAGATGAATTTCATGAATCCTGAGAATGTAGAACAATCTTCCGAGAAAGAGAGTTTTTATTGACTAAAATCGCCACATGGAGGATTTAGCGCACAAGGTCAGCTTGAAAAGGGGAAATGGTCTCATACCGCAATTTCTTACAGTAATTTCTGTAATTCACAACAAGCAAGACAAAGAGGTGATACATCCATCAGATGAATTGAACACATGACACACCATGATGATATCCATCAGATGAATTGAACACATGACACATCATGATGATCAGATGATGCATCGATGCACCAATCATACAAACATATTAATGATAAATCTCATTCAGACCCTTCAGTTCTCTAATCGACATACAGGCATCAGCTAGCATTGAACATGCCAGCTTAGCAGACTTCGAGTGGTAAAACTGCCTAATGGCAATCTGAGTTACAACACGATGACCCCGGACTGGCTTCGGAAGACCTCGATCTCCAGACGCGCCGAGGCCCAGACGTGGCTGCATCGCTCAAGCTTCCCGTTTATGCCAGCTAGAAATGACTTGGCCCATGGTTCTTCGTCGCGTTTCGCGCTCATGTCACACGGAACTGAAAAACTGGCATATACCATGTCACTGTTAGTTTGTAAGATCACCCCAAGGCGCTGCCCCTCCCATTACAGGTAATTGTGCAAATTTTAGCTTACGTAAGTATGTATGTCTGAACTACAGCTCATGCAGTGGTCAGGTAGAAACATAAGCGTTCGACAAGTTGCAGGAACACAGAAACCTAAGTGAAACACCCCTCGCAAAAAATTGAACAGACCGTAGAAAATATATTTTACCTCAGCAGTTCCTCTTCTGATTGTTTAGCATCTGAATGGCGATTTCTGTGGTAAGATATACCAGTATCAGAGCTACAAGAAATTTCTTCCTGGAAAAAAAAGCAACTGGAATGTTCGTGAAAAAAAGCCAAACCTGACCACATATATCCTGTAGATGTGAAGAGAGTGCTTGGAGAGATTCTGAGTGGCCGCCTCACCACTTTCATTGCGAAACAAATATGTTACAGGATAACCCAAAAGCCACCTACAAATGTTGCAACATGAAACAATGAATTGGGAGAGGCCAATTGAAATGGCTAACTTTGGCAACATAGCAAATATAAGAATGTGCAAGATATTTCAATTCTGATGTTAAGAATTAGCAAAAGAATAGGTGCCATGTTTTATAATGAGGATATGTGGTACTTTTAGATTACAAGTGCCCATGCAATGATTCCAGTGGACTAGCATTCCATGCTCATGAGGTTGGATACTCTCTAGGAAGCGAGAACCAGAAATTACCCATTCAGAGAAGGCAGTGCAATTCGGGTACCCTCTAGGAAGGCACTCAGATCAACAACCAGTGAGGTCGCGTCAGCAATACTGATGCCAGTGCACTCCACATCAGTGTCTCTCTCTGGAAGTCCCGACTTCTGCTTTGCTGTTCCAGGTTCTACATCTGCTTCAACAGGGAATTTAGCTGAAAAACGATCCTGGACGGATAAAAGCTCCACCATGGTTTCATTCTTTTCTGTGTTTGCAAGAAGCTGTACCAGGAGATCAGTCAGTAATGTAAAACAGGGCAATCAACCAAAAAAACAGAAGTGTGATCTGAGAAGGTAAAGACTTTGCAATAGCTTTTCTCTAGGTCCACAAAAGCTAGCTGGTACTGTGACCTTCCATTTGGTGACACGTGTTCAGCAAGTCCTTGTACGTGAATCAAATAGAGCATATCTTTGATAACCATCACCCTTAGCGGATTCAAGATCCTTGCTTCCTACAGGTCAAACAGGATATTAAAACTGCTATACTCGAAAGACTAGTACAGATTGGTCGAGCAAAGATGCAAACTGAGAGAGATCATAACTAAAACACTCAACTATAGCTTAAATGTAACAATTTGAGATGGAACTGCGATTTGCCAGCTCCAATTTAAATTACAGCAATCAAGATTCAGGTCTTAAATGTTTAAATCTAACTGTTTGACGGCAAAGAAATACAAGAAGTCGCCACCAATTGCTAAGACAAAAGGTCCAACGAAATAATACCAGCCGACATGAGCCACACATCAGCTCAGTGGGATGAGGGCTTACCACTGAATCAGTGAAGTAGCCCCATCCAATGCTCGCTCATACAAAATTTCAACAATGGGTAGAATCATAACTTCCAAATCTGAGTTGCTACTTTACAAGGGAGAGATGCTTTGGATGGATATTCAGTAGCGGCGAAGGATAAAATACAGATAACTCAACACACTGAGTTCGGGCAATCACCTGCCGAGCATGGTGCAGCAGGCTGCAGAGATTGTCCTGTAGCTGAGGCATCGTGCCGCCGTAGTCCATCAGTATAACAGGCCGCAACCCGGTGCAGAGGAACATGATATCTGCCAGGAACTCGTCAGTGCCAGTTCAATAAGTTTGCTCCTCAGTGCACTAATGCCAAATGCAGTCTCGAATTAGAAATCATCGTCTCCCTGCACAGGTATTCTGCAACTAGCTGATCAATCTACCCACCTATTGGTAGTACCAAACCCTGAACCTATTGGAACTAAACATTGCTCTGAAACTATCTGAACTTAGCTGGATCGAGTTATGCCAAGCTGGGCCGGGTAATGGATGGATGAACCAGCTACCGAATCACATGTTTTAGCACCAAATTCAGCAATACGGCACAGAACAAAGAAAGAAACGACACGAGCTCGCAGCTTATACTCCTGGGAGCACCAAATGGAGGAACGAGGAGCATGTTAGTGGACACGGACCGTTGAGGAGGCGGCGCTTGGATTGTGGGCGGAGGCGCCACCGGATGCGGGCGGCGCAGGCCTCCACCACCCGCAGCATCTCCTCGTACACCCCCGCCGCCGCCGCCACCTCCATCGCCGCCGCCGCCGCCGTGCGCGCCCAGCGGCAAGACAGAATCTGAAGGAAGTGCTAGTGAAACAGACGCGGAACGTTCTGTCCGACCGATTGAAAATCAACGGTCGGGATCCAAGGGGGAATAGGATAACTGCCTCCTGCCCACCTCCAGTACTCCACTCCTGGTCCTGGGGTTTCTTGCTTGGAATTGGAAGGCGGCAGAAGCTCTCTTGGACTGGATAGCAATGGAGTTACCCATTTCCATGGGAGGCTCTGCTGCGGCAACCAGCCTCGTGAATCTCAAGGTACACCCGCTACCCCCCTCCCCCTCTCTCCGATGCTACCCTCTTGAGGTGTGGTTTATCTATCGTTCCCTAGGGTTTAAGGCTATCTGATGTGAATTATATTGGGGAATGTTGGTGATTTTATTTTTTGGCGCAATTTGTTGCAATTGAAGAGAATGGATAGGATTAGGTAGATGTATTTGCCATTCTAATAGAATGGCTGGCTTAAAAAAATTCCGGCTCTTAACTTTCCTCAAACTTGTGAAGAACTTTGGGTTCAGTGATTAGGACTGATGCTTACGAGAGAATTTGCAACAGAGAGAACGTATTAAGAGGTTTTAGCATTAAGAGATTTAAATCCACACACGGGTGCTATTGTAATTCAGGGCGATGTAAGGTAGAAAGATATATGTTCAGACAGGCAAATGACCTTGCACACTAATTGATAAAAACAAAATTGTGGAATGTGCTGCAGATGGTGAATCACAAACGCACCAGTGGGCTTGGACCTCAACTTCAGTTTTCGCATGATGTACCATCCTCTGCTTGTCTGATGATATTTAACAAAGAATGTTCAAAACGGTAGGTTGCTTCTGCTTAATCGGATCATTGACAGTCTTAAAAATGTTTATTCCTTTTACACTCGATTGTACTGAGGGAGTAATACCTACTGCTTAGTGCTTACCACTAATGGATTACTTCACTGCTCATAGTTGCTTGTGCATTTATTTTCCAGAATCAACTATAAAGTTTGCAGAGCGCTTCAGGCAGTATCTCCAGTACAATGTACACCTTTATCCTCTTATCATGTTATCCAAACAGTGTACCGAAAATCTTACCTTCTGGGCTTATGCTATCAGGTGCAGAAAATCCCATGCAAGCACCGGTAGCCTTTAAAGATTTTCATGTTTCTGTGCTTACCGAAGAAGATGGAGTGATAGAGGTTGCTTGGCATTTTGCTCTCAGTAATAGAATTGACTGAAAATAAAATCCAGCTCTTTTGCAGATTTCATCTTAATCTCTTTACTTTTCCATTTTCTTTGTTACAAGACACAGATACGAGTAACTGTTAGCAGTAAAATGACGGTTTCTGTCTTTGAGAAAGTCTTATCAAAGCATATTGCCGCGGCACAACCACTTCCAGGATTTCGGCGATTGAAAGGAGGTAGCAAGCCTTTTATTTCCCTATCCATCTCAGTTCAGATAGAGCTACGGTTGCAACTCTGTTTCTGTTATTCGATCTTGTATCTTCAAAATCTTAGGAGTTCATCCCATGAGTTCAATATTTAACATCTGAAGAACACTCAGAACAAATGGCTTCTTGATGTGTCATACACTCATCGTATGTCTCAATGGATCATTAGCCGAGCTATTTGCTTTAATCCATATAGAAGTTGTTTAATTATATTAACCGTAGATTGCACTTCTCTTATTTATTTAGCTTTGCATCTTCGTAGCAGTTTCAATTGTTACAGCTTAGACAGCTGCTTAATTTTTTTTTGTGAAACTAACGCTGGTCACTTTCCTCGACATTGGTGCTACTTGAAATGATTCAGGGAAAACTCCAAATGTAAGTTCTCGTGACAACCAAAATTTAGTTCCTCTGCTTCGGAACATCTGCTCATGCTAGCTGGATTGTGTTTTAACCTGCTCCATGAATCTTGTTGTGGCTCAGGTACCAAAAGAAGTCGCTCTGCACTTGATTGGACCATCAAAAGTGAAGAAAGCAGCCATCAAGAAAATCATCAATCGCGCAGTCGCTGAATATGTTGAAAAGGTAACAACTACTATCCATGGGTTGCCTACTTTAGATGTGAATTGGTTGGTCATTTACATCTGTTGCAATGGCATGCTGCAGGAGAACCTTGACGCGTCGAAGAACCTGAAGGTTCTGCAAAGCTACGAGGAGCTCGAGGCCACGTTCGAACCTGGAAAAGAGTTCTGCTTTGACGCGGCTGTCCATCTAACAGGAAGCTGAAGCAGTGAAGGCCGTCTTACGACGCCATTGGCGAGATGACCACCGCAGGGTGGGGGACTCCTGGGCAGCTGCCCCCTTGACCATTAAGCTCGCAGCTCTGCTAGCCTGCTGCATACGGCCCTGTTGCTATCTCTACTAGCTAAATACCTGTGCGTTGGAACGGGGGCAACTCTCTTCAGTCGTTCAACATAGGAAATTTTGATTGGGTTAAGTTTGAGATATGACGTGGGGAGGGAATTTATAAGCAAAGATCAAGAAAAATATGATGCGATTGACATTGTGTCTGTACAACTACGTGAGTTTTATTTTATTGTTTGCTTGCAAAGGATTTCTTGCTATTGGCGATTTATTTGATTTCTGCTGATTGCTTTGCAAGGGATTTTTCTTTCCCCAGAAACGAGAGGTGGGGATTGGTTTGAGAAAATAATAATGGGTTTATTGTGTGGGATTTGTTTCCCGGGAACTAGGAGTGGTCGGTCATCATTTTGAAATAAATAAATAATGAGGTTATCACGTGGTTTGAAAAAAAAGGGCATGACGAGGCATGTACGTATCATGGAAGAGGTCGAAGCGATAGAAGTGAAACCAAAAAACTCACAAGAGATGATCATGGATGCTAGTCTGTTATTTTGTTCGACGTAGAAAATACTGGTTGTCAATCTTGTGTACTACTCCCTCCGTCCCGAATTACTTGTCGCGGAAATGAATATAAATGAATGTGCATGAAATTTGAAATATGCCTAGATACATCCATTTCTGGGTAAGTAATCCCGAATTACTTGTCGTGGATATGCAACTCAGGCCTCGCTTGGGGGCACCGGATAATTTCGAGTATTTAACCAAAAACTACCACATTTCACGGAAACGTGACAGAAAACTACCACTTTACAATTTTGTGCGGAAAACTACCACTTTTGTCCTAATTCATGGCAAAAAACTACCAAGTCTCGAAACCGGTCGCTTCGTCCGCGCTAAGCACCAAACTGACCAGCCGGTCCCATGTTTCAGGTGTCACGGTGGCCAACCGACGCCCGCCGCGTGTTAACGATGCGTCTGCGGTCGGAAACGGCGGTTGTCAGTTTGCGTTCAATGCACCAAAACGTAGGACCCGTCATTTGATGTTGATCCTCTGACGACGCCGTTTCCGACCGCGGACGCGCCGTTAACGTGCGGCGGGCATCGGTTGGCCACCGTGGCGCCTGAAACGTGGGACTGGCTGGTTAGTTTGGTGCTTAGCGCGGGTGAAGCGACCGGTTTCGAGACTTGGTAGTTTTTTGCCACGGACTAGGACAAAAGTGGTAGTTTTCCGCACAAAATCGTAAAGTGGTAGTTTTCTGTCACGTTTTCGTGAAATGTGGTAGTTTTTGGTTAAATACTCGATAATTTCACACCTGTTTCAAATCAATCCAGCAGACCAGCACTCGGCCGTCTCCTTGGTCAATCGCTGCCGGGCGTCGGTTCTATATCTTCCCTGCCGTGCTTAATTACCCATCGCACACCAAAGCGGAATGCGCCAGCCATGGAACAGAGCGAGCCTGATGTACATGGAGCAGCGCCATCACAAGCCATGGAGCAGAGCAGGGGCTAGAGATGTATCGCATCCGCAAAGTTGCTTTAAAAATGGAGCTAATACAAAACTGTAAGAGAGAAAGGATAGGATGCAACACGGGAGTTTCATTGATCATGCCGTCCGTGCATATACAGTTACGGTGCATGAATGTGCAAAATCAATCGTGGCTAACAAACTCCCTGTAGACTTAGCTAATGAGCTAAAGACTAGGGATATTCAGTTAGAAAGTACCACGGCGTGCATGAGTTAGTTAGGGTCGTTTACACCACCCCACAGTCCATGCGTCATTGATGAGGCAGACTGGATCGAAACTCCTCAAATGCAGCTGTTGGGAGACCTTTGGTCATGACATCGGCTCGTCGGTATCAGCGCTAGAATTGGAATTGGGGAAAACAAAGGTTGTGGATCCGGAAATTCGAACTAGTTCACGAGCAGAGGAATTCCTTCCATCCTCCTTCACCTCTGTCTCGAGTTACAAGCCGGCCGATTGACCATTTCTTCGCTGCCAAGTTTATCCTCAGCAGGCAGCAGTATGTACAAGGAAAACGATTACAGAGGTCACTCAACCCATTCACGGCCTGCAAGCCGGCTAGGTGAATCTTCTCTGTAATAGTATAAGGGCCATAGTAATTGAAGGAAAGTTTTATGATTAGCTCACCTAACCACTGAAGATTGAACATATGGCTATAGTTTCAAGAAAACCTTGTCACCAACTGCAAATGACCGATCAATCTGTGCTTATCAGCATGCTGTTTCATCTTCTGTTGAGCCCTGTGCAGATGCTGCTTGACAAAATCTAAAACTACAGTTCTCTGTTCCAACCAAGCAGAAGTGTCAGGACAGGAAATAGTGTTACAAACTGAAATGCCAATTATCTGGATGCCTGACCATACAGAACCTCAAAAGGAGACTTCCCCACAGATGAATGCTAGTTAGTATTGTACCAAAATAAGCCATTTAGACAGATGAGTAGGATGTGCACGTACTAATAAATCATCTGAGGTAACACTCAATCTGTTGATCGACTCCCTCAATCTGGCCATCTGTTTCAGGGTGATTGGTTGGGCTCATTTTCAATTCACTGGCAGTTGCTTTTATCAAAGCCTTCCAGAAAATGCTAGCAAATATAGGATCCCTATCTGAAACAATATACTTTGGCATGTTGTGCAACTTGAAAACATGGTCCAGAAAAGTCTCAGACACAAAAAGGTGCACAAAAAGGATGATGGAAGGGAATAAAATGGCCATATTTAATGAATTTATCAAGAACCACTAGAATGCAATTATACCTGCTAGAAGAAGGAAGGCCACCAATGAAATCCATTGCAACCATTTCCCATGCTTGTTGAGGAACAGGCAAAGGACACAATAGGCCAGGGTATGGAACTCTCTCTGGCTTGGCTTGCTGGCCAGTAAGACAAGCTTGTACCATTTCATGGATAAACTTCCTCGTACCTATACAGCAGATTAGACTGTGAATTCTTTTATATGTCACGACAAATCCCGAGTGTCCTCCCATTGGGCTGTCATGAAAGACCCTGACAATAGATCAATGAAAGAGAAGGAAGATTACCAACCCAAATTCTTCCCTTGTACTACTTACTAAGGCCATTCTGCAAACGATAGTGTGGTTTAGAACTGGGAGACACACTAAGTTGCCGGAGAAGATCTTGAGCTCTTTAGGATCATGTTCATAACTAGAAAGAATATCCTAAAACCACATAGGTGTAGCAGCAGAAATAGATAAAAACTTCTGAATCATGATGGGGCATCCTGGAAAGAGCATCAGCAGCAGAATTTGTGGACCCTTTCTTGTAAACAACTTTATACTGTAAGCCCATCATTTTTGTAAGTGCTTTCTGTTGCCAAGGAGTGTGCAATCTTTGTTTCCAACTGGATCAAGCTCTTTTGATCAGTTCTAATTGTGAACTCCATCACTTGTAAATAAGATCTCCAATGCTCCAGTGCCAAGAGAATAGCCAAATATTCTTTCTCATATACATGCAATGTTCGATTCTTGGGGCCAAAGGCCTTAATAACATAAGCCAAAGGATGTCCACATTGCATCAAAACAGCTCCAAATCCCTTATCACGGGCATCTGTTTCAGTAACAAATGGTTTAGTAAGGTCTGGAATAGCTAGAACAGGGGCAGTCATAAGTGCTTCTTTAAGTGTCTGAAAGGCCACTTCAGTGTCAGAGGTCCACATAAACTGAATACCCTTTTTAAGAAGTTGAGTAAGAGGTCTGCTGATGAGGCCGTAATGTTTGATAAATTTCCTATAATAACCAGTGATGCCCAAAATCCCTCTAATTTCTTTAACATGTGTTGGAACAAGCCGATTTTGCAATAGTGGTAATCTTGCTAGGATCAGTGCTAACTCCCTTCTCACTGATGACATGGCCTAAATAGCCAATGCTCCTCTGTCCAAAAGCACATTTACTGAGTTCAAATTTCCATGGATGTTCCTTAAGAAGTTGCAACACTTGTTCAAATGCACAATGTGGTCCTTCAGAGTTTTGCTACAAACTAAAATGTCATCAAAGAAAACCAAAACACAAACTCTGTTGAGAGGTGAAAGTGTGAAGCTCATAGCTCCTTGGAATGTAGCAGGACCACCAACCAACCCAAAAGTTAAAAAAACAAATTCAAAATGACCATTGTGGGTTTGAAGAGCTATTTTGTACTCCTCACCAGGGGCCAATCTTATTTGGTGATAACCTGACCTTAAATCCAACTTAGAAAACCAACTAGCTCCTGCCAACTCATCCAACAATTCATCTATGACAGATATAGGAAATTTACTCTTTAGTGTTAGAGCATTTAAATATCTATAGTCTACCACCACTATCCAAGTTCAATCATTCTTTTTGACTAAAATTACAGGAGAAGAAAAATGACTAGTGCTCCTTCTAATTATCCCAAACTGTAGCAATTCAGCCACCTATTTTTCCAACTCATCCTTAAGATGGGGGGCAACTCTGTATGGTCTAATGGAAACAGGCCTAGCACCAGGAATGAGAGGAATGGTATGATCAAACTCCCTTCTAGGAGTTAGATCTGGATACTGATCTAAAATTTGTTGCAATTCATCTGGAAAACTAGTACTTCTGCCATACCTATAAGGTAATTAACAGAAACCACAGTAAAGAAACTGGTATGAGTTTCAGGTTCCTGTAGAGTAACCAGTTGCCCTTTTCTGTAAAATGACAGCCATTTTTCTTCCCAATGAGCATGCATTGGGCTGGGCTGAGTCAACCAATCGAGGTCCATAATACCATCATAGGCCCCTAATGGTAGAAGCTTGATGTGGGACACAAAAGTATGGTCCTGACAAGACCATTGACATGCTGGTAAATGATGTTCACTAGTGAGCAAGGCACCACCAGCAACCTTAACTGAAACAGGGGCCATAGCTTGTACTCCAGTAA